TCCCAGTAAGCTCTGGATGCTCTCAGTGCTCTGGCCGCATGATTTCATACTTGTCTTCCATTTGTCTTCCATTTGTCTCCCACTTGTCTCCCAGTAAGCTCTGGATGGTCTGAGTGCTCTGGCCGCATGATTTCAGACTTGTCTCCCACTTGTCTCCCAGTAGGCTCTGGATGCTCTGAGTCACAACCTGGATCCATAAATTTCATGTTTTAGCCCTTGTAGGGCGTCCCATTGTAAAGTCAATGAAAAACATAATTTTAATGCGTTCCCTTTGAATCTTGTATGTGCGTCTACATAGTGGACTACAGTTTTCTTCCTCTAGGAAATACTGCTGGCCATATTGTTCGGAGATCTCATTTTTGAACATTGCTCTGTTTGGGGTCTACGCTGGTATAATTCAATCAAAACAACAGGGAAGGTGAAAGGTCGACGGGACATTCAGGGGCAAATGATGCTTGGTCCAGACTCCCTTGTTGAGTTCATATCGACCCACTTGAGCAACCGAAAGACTTTGTTGAGCGAACAATTGACCGTCAGCTGTGTTTGCTCAGTTTGCAATTAGAGTCTCAAAGGATTGCTCGGCCTGATCAGATGGATAGATGAAGTGGACAGGGCACGCGTTATTGAGGTGAATCTCCTGCCTCAGGTCTACGTGGTAGTATCAAAGCCGTGAGAAAACTAGCAGCATCATTCATCCTGAATCCTGAACCTGCTCATCAAAACTGCTCCACAAGGGTCTCAGGGTCTCTAAGTGAGTAATTTGCACAAGCTCTTCCTCTTGAAGTGCCACCGTTGCAGCCGCTGGTGTGCGGCTCCATAGGCGAGGCCCGCCCAAGAAAACTCGAGCCCACGTCCACAACCTGAACGGTGAAATAGCATAGCATCTGTTTCTGGGATCTCCTAGCCTCATCTGAAGATTCTGAACCATATACTCAAGCGTTCTGAAGGATGTCTGGCTCAATCTCCATCTCATGCTGTTCCAGATCTCCATCGAGATCTTGTTCGCTCCCCATAGGATTGGCCCTGCCACGATAGGCAGGCTGATGAAGCTGCTGTGCCAGTGTCAAAAGGCAGGCCTGAGCCAAAATTTGCTAGGTGATGGCAAGACAAACTGTCATCGTTCTCCCCTGGATGAACAATCTCTTGCACTTGCTCCCCGTGCATCATATGATGCTTTCCCCTTGCCATGTCACTGCTCCTGTTATCCTTGCTGCACTGCAGCCTTCTCTTTTGCGCCGCGGTAACTTCCTGCTTCATGCATGTTGAGAACCTTGACATCAGTGAGATCCTGAATGTCATCATGTGTTTGCTTGTCGACTTGCAACTGCTTATTGTACAGCTTGGTGTTGGCCAGGAGTTCTCCTTGAGCTTCTTTCTTCTCCGGTGCAATGATTTCTCCACTGCACTCTTCAAGTCAGTCCGTAGGTCCGTAGGTCTTTTAAATGCTCCTTTAAGAGTGTAGACAGATCAGGGGGCGCCGGTGGGGGCGCTGCCTGAATGCCCGTGGCTGTGAACTGGTGCTTGATCTCCTCTGGTATCTTCTCCCAATGAGATTGGATCACCCTCTCAAACTCCGGAGTGAAGGCCTTCTTGTTCTTCTTCTGCTTCGTTGCTCCTCACAACAGTCCTGCTCGAGGTTCAATCGGAGCTGTTTGGTATGACTTCTTTGGCCAGTGCGCCTTGTCTGGCAAAGTTCCAGCCAGCCCATCGAACTGCCTTCTTTTTCTTCAAATCAGGGCCTGATTCCTTTGCCGTGTTTTGCCCACTAAACGATCTGCCCATATCCAGCCCTGTCGACAATGCTGGCATACCAAATATTGTTTCCTCAGCTTCATTGTAGGTGAAGCCACCAGTGCCCTTGTCCTCCAAGTAGCGGTCTCCTTGACCTTGTCCACCAGATAGGATGAAAGAAGCACCGATAGTGCAAGAAATCCACCAAGGTGCCCTCGTGGACCTCCAAGCATGTGGCATGTGCTTACGCACTAGCGGGTCTTCAAGGGGCCGCCCGCTTGAGCAGTGAATGGCTTGAGCCAACCTATACACACACGCTTTTTTACCATATTGACCTTTCCTTCCACCCGCGCTGCTTAAGTAGAACCCTTGCACCAGGAACCGCGCACACATCACAGACATGGGCAATCACAGTCGACCTGAAACTTGAGGTCCACTCCACCCAAAAATTGCAATATGCAATGAAGATGCCAGTGAGCTCCTTCAACTTATTTCACCTTCATCTGTAGCGTGCTCTTTCACGAAACCATTCATTGTATGCAGAGTCATGGGGAGAAGGACAGAGAAAGGCGAGGGAGAGGGAGGAGCTGACCTAGGTGAGAGCAGTGATTGTTTTTTGATGATTTTTGAATGCCAAACCACATGTAGACTAGCAAGTGTCGCTAGTAACTTAACAATGCTAGGGTTGAAAGAACATGGTTGATGAGGTGTCCAACGACTTCTATGTTCGTACAACAGAAGAGCGGCACAAGGCACGTTTTTTTGTAGCTGCTGTGTTCCTTTTTGGCAATGTCCATTCTGTGAAAGCGGCATCAGAAGGAACGAACCGAGAAACTTGCAATGATCAGGTGGTCGCAAGAGCTGTTTGGAAAAAGTGCAAGGACAAAGGCGATATTTATTTGGACAACTATGAGGGCTGGTGCCCTGGGCTGTGCTGTTTTAAGGAGATTATTAGCTTTATACATAACCATGCCCCAAGCTGTTTTTTGAAGCAACAAATTGTTACGCATATCACGTGTTCTACATATTTATGTCAACCACAATCGCCCTTACTAGCTTGCACGACTGGATCAGGGGGTGTTGCAGTATACGGGCTTGGGGTTAGGTCATGACTCATGACCCACTGCCAGGCGATCAATGTGTTGGTCATCGAAACCATGCCATTGCAGCAATTAACAACAAACTGCCACCCTGCAACTATTTGCAACTCGTTTGCTCAATTTTCTACTGATTATCAATACGTGTATGACCGTGTCATGTGGCATGACCACCCGAAGCATCCAACTTCGACCTGGTCCAACGAATCGGAGGTGCTGGTACACATTTAAGGCATCGAAATTACAGTGAAGCACAAACCCCATATAGGTGGCAACAATTGCAAACTCCCAACAGAAGCTTGTGTGCAAGACAACCAAGAACATTCAACCGCTTTGTAGCAATGCTGCCAGTACCAACACGGCCAGCAGACAAGCATACATACAGTTTGGTGGTGGGGAAAAGAGTATTTGCGCATAAAGGATGCTTTCTGTAGATGGAAACGGGCACGTTCCCATCTCGCAAGCACCCCTCGCACAAGGGATGCCCTTGGGACCGAATCTTGGAGCACCTGCAATAGCTTGCCACCAACATGAAAAAGGGACAGCCAGAAGCACAGCGCTCCATCCTTCATTTGGATTCTCCATCAACATGATTCCTGTGTAGCACAAAGCCTTTTTGTACTGTGGTTTTGTCCAAAACACAATTCAGGACTGCAAGGGCCTGTTTTTCCAGGACAGGGTACTGGAACCTTTCCCAGTACGAAACATTTGTCTATGCCCACACACCACCCAAACCGGATAGCTGCAAGCACAGCTACCAGGCATGGGGGCACGCACCGGGGCAATCGGCTTTTAAGGGCTACAGCTGCTCCCACGCACCCAGATTAGAATCTTTCAGATGTCACCCGGGATGGTTGATGTTGACGAGGGATATTCATAAGACACGTGGCTCGTCCGTGTGTTCTGCCTTGTGGAGCACATTTTCAAGTCCACCTGTAGTACCGATGCAGTCTTATGCATGCACGTGTTCTCTTGTGAGGTCTTTTGTCGCGTTGTCATGTTGCGTTGCCTTTCTCCCATGATCACTGGGTCACATACATGTATATTGAGGGGGGTTGTACCCTCTACAAAAAAAGCATACATTTCCTGGCCTCCAGATTCTATTGTGGGAAGTGATTTTCAATATATGTTTTTCTTGGAATCTGATACCCTGCCCCCTTGCATACATTTTCCATTGAGCAAAGTATGCTTCCTGAGGGCGGTTTCCCCCCAGAGTTGGATGACCGCCCTTTGTTGCCCATGATTGTCCATCTTTGGGATGTATAGGTTTGTTTTGTCCATCTCAAAGGTCTGGAAAATGAAGGGAATGATATGGTAAGATCATGCCCAGAGAGCGGGTGGAGCCAAACACAAAAGAAACCCACTGAATCTCAAAATCCCAACCCCTCCCCCCACGCCCATCCCCCCACAATCTTTCTAGTTTTTGGTCGTGATTGCCTCAATTGCAGCATTGTACCCCGTGGTGTGCATATATTTGGCCTACAGTAGATTCTGGACCAGTCCTCTCTTTCATACATTTTGCTAGATTTTTGTTGACCCTGTCCACCCCTTGTTCATACAATGGCCGCGAATGCCCAAGAAATGTAGATGTGCATAGGTGATTGTGTTCCCTCCCGGATGCATACATTTTGGGTCTTGATCACCCTCTGCCTTATATCCCTCAACCGGTGTTTCCAGAAACACTGGGAATACTTTTGAACTTTTGAATATTGAATCATCTTTTTTCTATCTTCAATTCCCCTTTTCGAGAGAGGCTTGTCAACACCTGTCCCCTCCAGCTGCATACATCAGAACAAGATGTACACCTCGCTTTGTAGAGTTAGACCCGGTGATCGCCGTATTAGTATGGCGCGAGTTTCATTCACATTCACATGTAGTGTCTAGTACCAATCCCTTTCAGAATATGGTTGAACACCAAGGATCTGAAAGGGACCGCGATATTGAGAGGAACCCCTCAAACCAGGGTAGGTTGACAATGCCTGGTACACTGGTAGGGTAGACTCGGAAGACTATTCTCTTCATTTTCTCGGGTCAACCAGCAACCACACGGCTTTGACCCACACTCACCTCTAGCCGCAGCTCGCAATTTTTCATGCAGGTACCTCATTCGAGAGGAACGTTTCATAACTGAGCAGGAAGCGCAAGAGTGGAATTACAAGGACTGGCAAGCGTTCACTCTTTAACAGGCTGCCACGATGAATAATCTTGCCAGTCTGTTCAGCCTAAGCAAGGGTGTAATGTATATTCTACGATTGACTTCCTTGGGCTGTGGAAGCCCTAGTGGTTGATGCTCCGAAGCAAGGCTGGTCCACTCTTGAATCTATTTCTTCTGACTCATCGACATTCCCTTCCGCCGCCATATATGTGTCGTGCGAAAGTGTTGTCAAGCAACTACGTTTGCCGAGGATCCCATGTCTGGCGTCGACCTGAAGAAGATGTGTGGCTCCCACTCGAGAACTCGAAAGACATGAGCAAGCTCTGTGTCCTGTGTCGGATTGTTTTGAGCGAGCTCTGAGCTCTGTTCGCGTTTTTCCATTGTGTCCTTTTTCTGTAGCAGTCTCCGGCTTTCTGGTCATACTTTGCTGTTTGATTTTCTCTGCATTGCGGCCTGGGCTGATGCTTGTATTTCTTGTTGGTTGACTAAATCCCTGCCAGCATATGTGCTGGTTTGTTTTACTCGTTCGGAAGAACCGGTAGGCATGCGACTTTGAAGATGGCAACCTTTTGTTCCAAGATGGGCTTTGAAGACATTTTGGTCAACTTTGGGCTTCTAGGTCTGAACCCAGCTTCTTCTTTTGCTTGAGTAAGTACCAGCAGAAGGTGATTGACCACATTGAGGCAGGGGACATTGGGTAACATCTTGCTTTGGTTTCTTACCGTTGAATACCTACTTCATTGACTTTGGCTAAGGCCAATCCAGAGTTTCTTGAGCCAGCCCAGTGTTGACCTGAGACTTTGAAGATGATTCTGTTTCAAGCCCAGAGCTTTCGTTTCATCTGGGGATCAAGCATCATGCCTGTGGTTGATGCGCTTCCAATCATCACCGGCTTGGCACGGTGACTGAAGGTACAGAGGCGAGATTCTGGAGCGACTGAAGTCCATCGAGGTGGGACAATTGTTGCTTGAGAGGCTCGCCGAACCCGTGGCTTTATTGGACGACCCAACAGAACTTGGCAAGCCTGATGAAGCTCGAGTCACTTGAGATATCCACAGTTCTTTGTGGTCATGATTCATGTCAGCGCGGGGACAAACATTGAGCAAGCCAACACATCTAGCCATCACCACCCCCTTGCGGTGCTTGACCATTGTAACTTACATTTTTTGATTTCACAACAATAGCATTATATAGCCGTATAGGGGGGGGGTGAAAATTGTAAGATCTAGGGTTGAGGTAGCCTATGTGAGGATGTTACTTTTTTTGACCCCCCCCCCCTCAAAGAGGTCTTGGCCTACTTCTGGAGACTTTGAAAGGAGGGGGGGGGAAATTGTAAGAATCTATGGGTGGGTACCACACAGAGCAAATTACAATTTCCCCCCCCCTTGTCGACGTTTTACGAGTGTGTTTTGTAATAGCTTTGAACCTCTCTGCTTCGACAGTTTCCACATGCCTTTGGAACATGAACTTGGGCATCTTGAGCTCAAGATTGAACTTAATCCGGAGATTCTCGCTTTGCTTTCGTGCAGCACAAATGGCTCAACCGAGATCAACCGAAAGTTAGAACAACCGAAAGGGAAAGGGAGATAAAGTGGAGGACTCGATGCTCTTGTCTAAACATGGTGTCCCTGCCACTGGAGATTACAATTCTACCCTAGACATCCTTGAACGACCTGTACTTCTTATATAAATTGTTGGAGCAATGCTTTCCACAAAAAAACATGCGCAACACACACTGTATAGTGCAAACAAATGGCAACCTTACAATTATACCTCTAAAGCGACATGTATCTGGTAAAGCTCTGAAGCCCCTCTCTCTTCCAGATATGTTTAAGGCCACTGCAACCTGGGAAAAATACTACACGGAATTGAATGTATTTTAGTGCGCCCACAAGTCCATATCACAATTACAACCTTCTTCTCCGACTATTGAAGCTCGTAAGAGAAATGTTGAAGCCGGAACATGAAAGGAAAACACTGCGCAGGGTGCACCATAGCGCAGCCAGAAAGCCATATTACAATTAGTTCCCCCCCTTCCGCACTGGTAAGGTCCTCCCATAAATGTTGAGGCAGGCACAGCCCAGGAAAAGCACCGCACAGTGTGTGTTTAGTGCACCAACAAGTCCACATAACAATTAGAACAC